ATCACCAGCCCAGGTTGGGTGCATGAGACAAGTGCTCGGGCCTGGTGCACTGGGAAGACCCAGAGGGATTGGGTGGAGAGGGAGGTGGGAGGGGGGACCGGGATGGGGAATACATGTAAATCCATGGCTAATTCATTAAAATGTATGACAAAAACTACTGCAATGATGTAATTAGCCTCCAACTAATAAAAATAAATGGAAAAAAAAAAAAGAATACTAATACCAGAGTCCTGTTCACAGAAATTGGGATTTAATTGATCTGGGATGGCCCTGTTGGTTGGTTTTTTTTGTTTGTTTTTCTGTGTTGATTCCAGTATACAGAGTTTGAAATCCATCTTTCTCAAATTTTAGTGTGCGTAAACATCACTTGAAGGGCTTGTGAAAACATTTTTCTAGTCATCACCCCAGGAGATTCTAATTTTGGGTTGGTGTCTGAGAAGTATTTCCAAGAAGCTCCCAGCTGAGGCTGAATAGCACTATTACAGACTTTAGAGTATGTGGTATTGGTTTCCATGTGTCCAGCACAAAATATGTACGTGTCAAAATATTGAATGAATGTGGCTATTTGCTTCTTGAAATAAAACGTTCGTGTGAATGACTTGGATACCTCATTAAAAATACAGATTCAAATTCTGTAGGTCTGTGGTGGAGCTGAAAGTCTGCACTTGTAACAAGATCACAGGAGATGGCAACAACATTTGAAAATAGCAGAGTACGACAAGATATATATCATCATGTGTCATTTTCTCATCTCAGTTTCACCAAGGTACCCTAGGCAGATGACCTTCACCTGCGCGTCTTTGGTCTACCCTGAATTGGGCACATTTCCTATTATACTCCATTTCTTTCCTTTTCTGTCCTATTCCAAAAGCATACTGGAGTTCAAATGAGTGAGACTGACATTTTTATAGAGATTGCATCAAATCTTCTCTAATTTTTAAAATACTTAATATTAAGTAAATATACATTTGTTCATAGTTTGTATAAAGTAAAAACAATAAGATATAATTAAGCCCATGTTTAATAGCATTTTTATTTAAAATAATTTTATTTACAGAAAAGTCACAAAGATAGTACAGAATTCTGTGTACTGCTTACCCAATTACCTCTAATTTTATCATTTTACATAACCCACAATACATTTGTCATTACTAAGAAATTAACATTGGTGCTTTGCTATCCACTGAAGGAGAGGCTTCCTTTGCTTCTCACTAGTTATTCTGCTGATGTCCATTTTCTATTCCAGGATCCAATCCAGTATACCATGTTGAGTTTAGCTATCATATCTCCATAGATATGGTCTGTTATGGTTTCTGATCTGTGATGATTTCACATTCTTTGATTTTCATGGTCTTGCCAGTTTTGAGGAACACTTGTCAGATATTTTGTGAGATATCTCTCAGTTTGGTTTTGCTTGATGGTTTCTCATGATAAGACTAAGATTATGGGTTTTGGGAAAGAATAAATAGCGCAGAGGTAAAGTGCCCTTCTCATCACATCGTACTAGACAGTGTGATTTATTAATATGCACATAGTTTATTATTGGACACATTCTTTAATGGATGGACTCATATATTTTTTACCTTGCTATAATCCATTACTGTGTTATTTACTTTGTTGTTCAAATTATTCCAGTTTAGGCTTTATCAGATCAACTTCCATGTCCCTTTACAGGCCCCCATTGTATTGATTTTTGAACGCTACTTTCTGGCATTCCAGGATATTCCAGACTCATCTTGTATTTTCTCTACCCCCACATAGAATCAGCCAGTTTTCTCCAGGGAGCCTGGGTTCCTTTTATTGGATAATGGTATTTAGACACCAAGATTTGGTCAGTGAGTATGCTTATTGCTACTTAAGTGTCATTGATTCCAGGCCTTAGTGGGCACAGCTAGGAAATACATGTGTGTACTAAGCCATGTGTACACACATATTTATGTCTCTGTCTCTCTCATGTCTGTTATCTATATATATGTACACATACATGTATACACATATATATATGTACTAAGGATACTCATACTGAGTTCTCTGACTAATCCAGCACCACGTTCTTTCTAGCCTTCCACCCTTGCTTTTGGAACTTCTTTCTTTGACAATGAGAAACCTGGCTGTCATTATCTACCATTTAGTTACTTACTTGTTC